GATCCTCGATCCTCTTTGTGCTGGCGCGTTGTTTCGCGAACGCCTCGAACAGGCAGGTGACGTGGTGCCAGGCTGGCATCAGTTTGCCGTCCGAGAAGAAGCTTGCCACATACTTGGCGATCCGTATCTCGTCCTTCTCAATCGGACATTTGCACCTCTTGCATTTCGCGCGGCCGGTTTTCGCGCGCTCCACGGTGAACGGTTTCTCTTCCCCCTGCTGCTGTTGATCCTCGTCGTCAGTCGGCATGATGTTCAACGCGATTGGGCGAATTTAGGCAGAACGAAGGAAACTCTATAATAAATAAAAAAAAGTTACATGAATATTGAATCGGAATAAAATTTATTCGTTCGAATAGAATATTGAAACCAGTTCAAGTTAATATGATTCGGGTCATTAATTAATTTATTGATAGCAGAGAATTTATTTATGATATGATGACGAGAAAAATACATCACACACAAATTAGAATAAGATTACTAATTTTTAAATTAGAAAATAAAGCCTTATTTCATATTCTTAACTTGTTTCTTCGCACAGAATCATTATTGACCCGTCACGCACATACAATTACAGGACCCTTGTGTAAAATTTATGTGCATGTCGTGTTAATAAGTACTCTTGACTACTCTTGCAAGGTTTCTACACGTGGCTCTCTCTCTCTCTCTCTCCCCCTCCCTCCCTCCCTTCCTCCCTATCATTGTTTTGTGCATTACAACGTTCGAATCGATTCGAGTAACTGAGGTAATAAGGATCAATTACAAATCTATCACGGGTACACTGCCTTCCAGATAGCTCTACATTAATTCCGCATGCAAGCTAAGCAGCTCGTTCGTAAAGGTGGAGCGAACAAAGCGAGGGTGTAAACTGTAGTTGCGCAAGCCACTATCGTACTATATACAGTCGCAAATATCGTGCACGTGCAATGGGGTATTAGGTAATAAAGCCCAAACAGACGCACGGCGCGGGATTCTCCATTAATACACGTGGATATAGACGACAATCGAGGTTTTCATAATCTGTTCTTATTTTAAGAAGCCTTAAGTAATATTAAATAATATTTTAAAACGCTAATGCAGCCCTCTGATTGACTTACGACATCTTGATTGTAGTTAAGACAGTCTCAAATATTCCTAAAAATCGACTATACCTAAGAGTGGTCTTTATCTGATGAAAACAAACACTGAAAGTAAACACTAAAAATTAACGCAGAAAACTATGCGTATTTTCTTCAATATATTTAATATATTTAATTAGTTTTGATAATGATATGTATACGTTTCGGCTTCAGTTGCTCCTTCATTAGCAACATTAAATTTTGTTAATCTGCTTAAAACTAGTAATAATAATTAAATGTATTAAAAAAAATACGTATCGTGCATTGACTCCTAACTTTGACTCCTGACGCAGTTCACAATGTCGAAAGCCTTCGCACAATAATCAATAATTATATTAAGCTCTCATTAGGGAGCAACTCGAGTACAATAATCCTCGGAGTAGCACAGATCAGCATAGACACGCTTTAAATAGCATTTCTTTATCTTCTGACTCTCATTGAGAAGCCGATATCGCGAGTGGGACGATTCTCGTTGCGTCTTATCTGTCGGCAGATACTGGACGATCCCGATCGTCCATCGAGGCTGATCGAGATCGAGGATACTTGGATTTATTTATTCACAGAACTCTAAGAATTTCGTCAGACGCGAGATTTCGCACAAGGAGGAAGAGAGGAAAGGGACGGAAGGTGAAGAAGGAGAGAGAGGAGGAGAAATCTCCTCATTGAAAATCTCGATAATACTCTTCCTCTCCGTAATCGCGTGTACTCTCCATCCCTTCCACTCTGTGTTGCGATAAGGAACGATCACGAGTGTCACCATCTGTCCGAGATGTATATACACATAGAAAAATACATATGCGCAAGTAATAATTATTACTTGTTTCAAGTATTTCGAAAGTTCATTTATATCCGCAAATCTATTAAAGTTCATCTCAAGCATCATTCAAAATATTATTATATTCTGAAAAAGTCCTAGTAAGTTTCATGCTTCAGTCAAAATTATTAAATTAAAATAAATTTTATAATATTCTTCAAAAGAAAATAAATTCTTATTCTGACTTCTAGGTAATAATGAGTTTTTCTAAAATTTCTAATAAATGTATTTTATAAGATTATTATCAAGTAGATTATTATTAAAGTTTATTAAAGATAACTTAAAAAGAAAGTAAATTGAATAATCACTTTTCTCAATCATAGACTGATGTTGTTCTCGGTGTGCGTTCACCGAATGTTGCTAAACGTCTAATTATAAACATTCGATCATCAGTACTGATTTGTGACCGGATTTCGTATAAAACGCAACCTTCGTCTTCCCACGCTTGAATGCCTAAATTTCCTAGACAGAATTCAGACTTCGGAGAATTTGCGCGTCGAAGACGAGCTATCCAGTCCGCCTGACGTTGGTTTGTTTTCATTGCGTCGAGATTATCGGTAGCCTTATAATGCGCATCATTTTCCTCGTCACCATTGTAATCAACTCGTCGCAGTTAAATAAATGAAGTAAAAAATTCACGAGACAGACAATTAAAGCGGAAATATCCGAACTGGATTCGAACAATCCCCGATTAGGATTACTATATCTGAATTACAAAAAAGAATACATATATATATATATATACTTTTAAAAAAATGATAATCTGGGAATGGAGGGGAAGGGAATATAATTGTTTTACACGTTAAATTAAAATTGAAGTATTTAATAAAATAAAATAATTTCTAAAACATAATTTTTATTATCAATTCTTTTCGATATAATTTTATAAATGCATATGTTAACTAATGAGCAGAAATTTTGTGACCTTAAAAAAAGTTTTAAAAATCTGGTAACTCTATCTCCGATGGAGTAATAAACACGCGAGATTTTGCTAATAACGAATTGTAATACGTGACGATCAAATCAGTGATTAATAAAATCTTTAATATATATATTCACTAAGAAAAAAAGCACTTAATTCTTCGATGATGGTAGATATATTAAACTAAATATTATAAATCTGTTTGTAAAAAATATAAAACATACAATTTTTTATGCTACATCTGCAAATTTGGATTATTTTTATTAAAATATACTTACTTATAATAATATTTATTATTTTTTTATGAATATTTATTCATTCTTTATATTACGTCATTTTGATTTTTTTTAATTAATAAGAGTCTTTTAATCAACATACATTAAATTGGTTCTTTGAAATTAATCAGTGCCTTTTAATTAACAAGTTAAATGGATCTTACAAATTCAGTGTCAATAATTGTACTACAAACTTTTGCGTCACAGCAAACAATTAAAGTCAAAGATAGAAATGATTTTCCATTTTGATAATTACACTAAGAAAAAATTGTTCATTTGAATAATGTATTCATCTTTATATCTTTCGTTGAAAAACATATATTTGAGTGATTGAATAATTCTCCAACGAAAGAAATATAAAGATAAACTAAATTATTCTAGTCAAATAAAAATTTTTGTTCTTAAAGTAGATAATTCACTTGTACTTTTGCATACATTCATAACTTTTTGTTTATGTACATTCTTGTATTCATTTCATACGCGAAGTTATTAAAGGAAGATTTATCGAAAGAAAAACTTTGAAATATTTTATCCACGCGATATGTTATCTCGTTTGGACAAAAAATATGAGATAAAAATTTTTTCTTGTAAGACATTCATTTTCTACTATCTTATCCGAATACTTTCTTTCATGTACAGAATAATGAGGAAACGAATTTGTGATTCCAGGGAAATGCGAAATTAAGCAAATTAATACATGCCAAAATTTGTAATAAAGTTACTGATACTGAGTCTATAAAACGCATTTAATTTACGTTAATTAAAAGCTGATTCATTAAAAAAACCAATTTAATTTATATTAATTAAAAGACTAATTAATTTCAAAGAACCGAAATGACACAATTCGTACAAAAAAACAAATATAAATATTACACCGAAAGTCGCTTTATATCTTTATAAAGATTATCACTTTAATTTTTTTTTTATTTGCCATAGATAACAAAAAAGATTTCTCTTTTATTATTTTTTACTTTTGATCTACAAAGTCTAAAAATTGTTCTTTTATTTTTTATTTGCGTTTATTATGTATTTAGTATTAGATGCTTCAAAATTTATTAGGGAAAAATTTAGTATCAGCAAATTTATTTTCAGTAAAACTTAGTTGTAGCATTTTTTAACACAAATATTCTGTTTTGTACAAAATACATTTTTCTGCTATGCAAATAACAAAAATATTTGTTTATACTAGCTAAACAATTTAATTTGCAAAAAATTAGTTCAACTTTTTGTTATTAAGTATAGCAAAATTTTGGATCATAGAACGAAATATTTTTCCTACTGTTAAGTAGGATTACCAGTAATTAATGCTTAAGAAATTGTACTTCCTTCTTTCGCCCCCGAATTATCTTTTTTTTTTTAAGATACACATATGTACTTTTTTCTTGCGATTTAGATATGATAACTGTAGATCGTAAGAAATTACAAATCACAAATGCGATTCGACGTAAAGAAACGTCTCACCAAAGAAAAATCGAAAACTATTCGATGCAACAACGTCATCCTATATGTATATAATTCCGTTCACACGATACCAGATTTTCCTCGGATTCGAAGAAACCGACTAGAATACCAAGTGCTATGAAATTCTAACGACGCGGTCAAGGAGAACTGTTTGTAAACAGTAAACGTGCTTGGGGTGCACGTCGCGTATATTCGCTGTTTGACGTTTGTCGAGGAAGAAACGAGGGTGCACGCGAAGGCGGGGGTTGCGAATAATCCTTCTTCTTTTTCTGCGTCGTGTCGGACACCTACTACAGGGCGGTTAGGTGAGATCTGCCCGGAGGGCGGAGGGCGGCAGGAGGGATGCGGAGGAGGACACCTGCGCGGGTATAATAGAGGGTGCAACAGCCCTTCGTAGCTCATTCTACCACTGCGTGTCGTATCGTCGGCGAGATAGAGCGCGAGTTCTCGGCGAGGTTCGACCACAGTAAGTTACGTTCGCGCGATCTCAACTGAAGTCCTGGCAGAACTTCCGCGCGCGGTATTTCCGTCTACGGCTTGTATCCCTCGACGCGTTTCAATTAAACGATACCGTAAAATGGAGTGATTTTGATCCGAATTTTGATAAAATGCCCAGGTAGCATGTATGTCAAAATTCAGAGCTTAAGGCGTCTTCGTTTCTATCATTGTAGATTAACTGTAATGTCGGTTTAACTTGCTCTTCATTCTTTTCTCATTTTTAGAACTAGGAAAAGAAGAAGAGTTAATTAACTGAGATTAAAATTAAATTACATATATTAATAAAAACGAGCATTAATCTCTGCTGATCTGTTCGGGTTTATTTGATCCCAAATTTATTTTCTTTTTTATCTTACTAATATTTTATTTAAAAACTTAAATTTTTTTCTCTAGTATTGATGATTTCGTTTCTTAATGTACGATGTTTATTTCTGTGAAATTTTTTACTTTTTAGAGTTTTTTATAATCATATTAATTCAAATGATAAGATAGTAAATTTAAATAAGTCAGCACAGAGATGTTTTATGATGTCTCATATCCTGATTTTGGATATACTGCTGTTTAAACATTTTTTAAATTTCGGCCAAAGTTGATCTTGATCTCTCTGAAATGTTCGTTGAACACAAGTCTAACATACATATTTTTTTATAAAGTCTCAATTTCAAATTCAAGGAATAGAACAGCCTCCAAAATGGTGATAGAATATTTTCAAAATATTAGATTTTCGCTAGAACAATAAAATTTTTTAATTAAAAAGTACAAAACATTTCTCTCAGAGCTTGTCAATAAAGCCAATTATCGTTATAATTATTTTGATGGTCCGACAATATTATTTTTAAATCTGTATCCAAATTTTCGGACACTTTAGCAAAACCGTCCTTTCTGTGTTCTAGTAAATAAACCGCCAGATCATCTGCGTCGAACGCGAGCGAATTGATTTCTAATCGTTTTGTTTGCAACGCGAGCATCGCAATGCACTCGTCCTCGCGACCAGCGAATAATAGCGCGAAATCCATCTAGAATCTATAAATAATAGTTAAACGAGGCGCTTCTCTCTCTCTCTCTCTTTCATTTTTCAAACAGTGGCAATTGCTCCCGTTGTGACCACTGATTTCTGGTGCACTCTAAATTTCTTACAGTGAAATCTCACTCCAAGAAAGTGAAAATACAATTACCCTTGAAAAAAAAAGTGAAAATATTTCACTTCTTGAAAAAGAATGACAGTTTTCACTCTTTTCAGTGAATTTTCACTTCAAAGGAGTGAAATCTCACTCGAAAAAAAAAAAAATTGAGGTTTCACTCTAAAAAGAGTGAAGATCGTCACTTTTTTTTTTAAAGAATGGCTGCATTTTCACTCTCTTGGAGTGAGATTTCACTGAGATCTCAAGCAATTTAGAGTACATTCATTATTTTCCTCTATCATTGTTATGATTACCGCCGTGACGCGCGACGTGTTCCCGCACATCTGTCGCTATCGCTTTCTCGCTATCACCATCCGTACGTGACGCGCGATATCGCGCAATTTCGTGTCCGACGATCCCGCTCTCTCGCGCACTAGATTTTACTTCGTTATCACGTGACACGCAGCCCGTCACGCGATAATGCCGTATCGGTCAAGAGGATAATCCGCGATAATCCTTGACCCTCGTTCGCGGATCGTATCAAAACTCCCGCCCGTTCTCGCCTGCTTGCTCCTAAGATTCGGTCCACGACGGGGCAAAAATCAATTAGACCAATACGAGATTTAATCATCGCCGACACAAATGCCTTCTACTTGAACCTCCCACGCAACTTGAATACACGGATAACCCGCGAGAACTTTTTATCTTTCGACCGGAGATGAGAGGAACATCAGAGTCATATGTGATATAATCGTCAATGGTTGTGTTTTCTCTTAATTTTCTCAGCCTCACTGTTTGCGAGGTACCAACGTAGCGAAAATTCTTCCCGGGTGTACTAAGTTGTTTTTCTAAACTTATTTGTGCTCCCTACTTTGTTACATATTTTTCTTATATAAATTGGCCGATATTGGTCAATTTCTTACGGTTTGAAATTTAAAGCTTGCAAAGCCATCTACGTAAAAAAATCAATATAGATAAGATTTCGGAGACTGTAAAGTATTGAATGAGACTTATTAACACTTTACAGTCCATGAAATCTTACATTGAATTTTTTTACGTCGATAGCTTTACGTTTGGCTGCGGTGCTCAAATTAGACAGGTTTGGTTTAGGTAATGACTTATTGTAGAAAAAAATTTACTAAATTTACTAATTTTAATAAATATTTCTTTGAATACTAGCTGAATATTTACTTATTTAAACACATATTTAAAAAAAAAACAAGGACCATTAGTTTTTAATTATCATTTCTTTATTTATCTAAATATTTATTTATTGTAAGTAAATATTCAACTAGTATTATTCAAAGAAATATTTATTAAAATTTAATAAATTTTTGGTTTAGTGTATCAGAGAAGATAACCGAAGTCCTTGAATCAAATAACTTTTGTCATTTTTAATTTACATGTCAAAATGTAAATCAATTCATTTCTATGATAGTTTCAAAGTAAATAATCTATAATATTAACGTATGCATCTAGTAAATTAGATTTCTGTAAGGAAAGGAAGTTGGGAGTGATAAAACTCAACTAGATAAAACTCTTAACTCGTAAATTACCGTAATAAACGTTTCATAATTCTTTCATAATACGAATATCTCTATCAATCGTCATTACGATCGTACGAGTATGAATTCTTGCAACAAATCCCGATATCTTATATATTAATTCTCCACGTTATCCTTATCTGTACAAGCGCGTTTTTTTTCTCATTTCCGCAGAGAGCACGAGATACAAGGGAATGACGAAAAGAGGTAGCCGACGAGCCGCCGCTAGGACAAGCTTGTGTCTGCTGGCGGCACTCGTGCTGTCCTGTATCACAAGTGGCAACAGGGCTTACACGATTCCGCGAGCAGAATCGCCAGGTATCTTCATCGCCGATTCCGCGGATGAGGCGGATATCGTGAGTATATACTCTTATGCTCTTTTCATTTAATTTCTGGTTAATTATAATAGTTGAGCTACCTGATGATAATATAATAATTCTATTTTTATATCTATTAATTGCTAAACTGATGCTTTTGTAGTGGTAACGTTAACAGTTTTTCATCTTTTGAAACCATTAGTTTAATGATTAATCATAGCTAGAAAATTATTTTTATATTATATTATCATTGAGTATAAAAAAGTGAGATTAAAAGTCAAATCACAAGTCAAATCTCAAGTCTAACTCACAAGTTATATCTAGTTTTTATAAAGTTTTAACAAGTTACTGATTTACTTTTTCACTGACGTCTTTAAAAAGATAAGGCTTCAAATAGACATTCTTAACATAGACACAAAATTTTATAAGTAATTAAAGTAATTTTTGAAATTTTTGAGAAAGAACGAAATTTTTCTTTTTAAATCTTTGCCATCTTTTATTCCTGAAATTAAGCCATTTCGGACATTATTCATATGAAGTTTTCGTTTTTTAAATCAATGTGGAAAATTCTCTTCTTGTTTTTTAAAATCCTTTAGAATATTTATTTACAGTTAAAAATTGACTGTGCCTTTAAAGTCCAGCATTGCCGAGGATTCATAACAGATTTCACCTTGTATGGTGCATAAATTCAAGAAAATATTATTAATTTAATTATTTTGTATCATATCTCTCGAATCTTATTGTACTCGGTTGCGCACAGATGTTGGTGAACCACCTGAAGCAGTTGATCGAGAAAAAGCATCGAGTAGTCGAGCAGGAGAACGAGATCACCGACGAGCAGATCGAGATCCAGGCACTCCTGGAGGCGAAGGCGAGGGAACGAGAGCGTGCGATGTTAATGGAACAACCGCCACCGGACTACTCCTCTGGAGAAGCGGAACCGGAAGCGCTGCCAGTACCCGCGGCTATGATCCACGATCATCAACATCCAGGCAAACGACAAGGTGTGAATGCAGTCAGTTGTGAGTATTTCTGACAGTCTTTATTTTTGTTGCAAAGGGAAGATGCAGGTTTGAGTCAATAGAATCACATCAGAACGTCGTAATATTCTTGAGACACATCTCGCGTGAAAGAGGATAAAGCGAAAATTATTTGTGATAAGTATCTGTTCTGTTTTTTATAGAAGAGAACCGATAAATCACGTGAATACGAATCTCGATATACAAAAAGAACGGTTTTGCTACAGTATCTAAATATTTAGCTTGTTCTGAAAATTATTTTGTTATCAAAATAATTATATATACACACAAGAGATGAGGACATAAAAAGTTTGAGTGTCCTACTTAATAATTATTTTGATAATTTAACAAAATAATTTTAATTTGTTTTTAGATCTAGCTAAATATTTAGGTACTTCAGCAAAACCAATCTTTCTCATTCCACCGTCATGAGTTAATCCATTTACTTCTGATTTTTATAATTATTACAATTTTATAGAAATATATGTGCATACAAAAAGAACGATTTAATTAAAATATCTAAAAGTTTAGCTACATACAGATCTGAAAATAATTTTATCAGAATAATTATATAGAACGTAAGTTGAGTGTTAGAATATCAACATTTTTGACAGCATTACTCATTATATTTGATTTTCCTACATAATTATTTTGATGATCCACAATTATTTTTAAATCTGTTTTTACATTAAAAAATAGATTTGTATGAATAACCATAATTTAGTTGATATATGAATTATAAAACTTTCTTATTTTTTTATTAAAAAATTGTGTCGTTCTCAATCAAAATTTGATTTAAACTAATCAAAATTTATGAGACAAAAAATTAAGTCTCACATCGCGAAATGATGAAAAAAAAAACAATGGAAGAAACAACATGAAGAAAAATACAATAAATAAAAAACGAGAATAAAGCGAGAGTCACAAGAAGAATCTTACACGAAAACGTTCTAGTAACATTGCGATATACCGATGATATCCGTCAAGAAGATACGTCTGGGACATTCGGGATCATTTTCGTGGTATTTCTCGCGGATTTTCCGTAGCCACGTGAAATGACTCGGAATTATCGTTTCTTCCAGGATTAGTTAACTGGATCCCGAAAATTGGAAGCTTATGCCGCTCACGTTTCAGGAAATCTCGAGAGAATTTTTTTTCATTTTTGGTGAAGACGATCGAGAATAATGTTCCTCTTTATTTCGGCGATAAGTATCAGAGGGAGACTATATAGAAAAACCGAAAGATCGTTTCTCGACTATCGATAATTTCACGAATAAATTCTTCTCGACAATAAATGTATAATACGTATTACATACACGTATACATGGCAATCTGCGCCGCGTTTGATTTGATCGAAGGCGATCGATGACAATTGATTGAAACAATTGGCGCGTGACGCCATTACATATCTTTCGTTCTCTTTTTATCTCTCTTTCTCTCGTCTGCGTGTCTTTCTTGATTGATTCCTTGAAATTGATTCCTTGATTCGAGTTCGAAAGGGAGATCACCGATCGTAAATTTTTCATTTAAACAAGCGATATTTTTGACAATTATGTTCGTTAAGAAAACGAAAGCAACTTTTTGTCTTCTCATTTAC